TACAAAGACCTTGTAATTGTTTGGCTCACCTCGAATCCAATGGATAACAATACTAGAGTCACTCCAATAGACATACTTGCTTATCGGGAATGTCATAACACTCCTTATTTTGTTAGTGAGATTCGCCTACTGGCGAAGAAAGATCCCGAGAGAGGGTCTTGGTAACGATCCATGAAGAAGGATGCAACCTGTTAGACACTATCCAAATTGAGGCGGGTGGTAGCTTGCTGTTATAGATTCGTGGAAAACGCAGGAAAGAGTAGTACTACACTGCATAATTCCAATCTTGGGATTGAGATAATCTTCATGGGCGCTATACGTGATTTAGACGTTAGTAATCGTACGGTTCTTTTTTCCGTTGTATCTATAGAACACAAATAAATACAGGCTCCATAAGCCACCTGCGACACGCATCACAGAATCCATGCATTTCCACCTTGATGGCGTTCTTGATTACTACTTGACGTGGTACCTGTATTTCTTCCATAACTTCCAGTCTTTCCTTGTAGGAATTCTACTCGAACATAAATTCACTTGGTAATTTGTCATCCCAATTCACGCTTAATTTCCACAGGCTTCTTATGAACAGTTTGGCCTTTACCATGACTGGCCCTATGAGACCCAATGGATCGTAAATTTGAGCAATGACGGAAAGGATACCCCGTTTAGACTTACAAGCTTCTCTAGGTATTGTCACCTTAAATTTGAACATATCTTCCTGCGCGTTCCAATGAATTCCCAACGTCTTCACTTCCTCCTTGGATGCAAGAGGCCTTTCGTTTTCGGAGTTTGATAATAATTCCAACACGTTAGAGTTCCACTTCCGGAGCTCCAGTTCAACTGTGGCCAAAATCTTCACTACTTCTTGTTTTAGCTGCTGTAGATGTGATACAGAATCACTCCCTGTAATCAAGTCGTCCATGTAGAAATCATTCTGAATAGTCGCTGCTGCTCCTGGATACGTTTGAGAGTTATCGAGTGCTAGTTGTTTAAGACACCTTTGAGCAAGATACGGTGCAGAGGCCGTACCATAAGTTACCGTTGTTAACTCAAACTTAAGAATGGTATCTCTGGGATCATCTCGCCAGAGGATTCTCTGTAGGGCTCTATCCCTTTTGTTTATTTTGATCTGACGGAACATTTTAGAAATGTCTGCGATCAAGACATAATTATGCTGTCGGAACCGAATCAAAATTTCCATGAGCTCTTGTTGGATCTTAGGGCCCACCATCAA